CTGTAGCCTTATTGCAAAATCTGGAATCTCTTCTAATATTCCTTCTTCAATGGTCGGATAACGCCTAGATCGTGCGCAATCTGCCTGATTCGCCGGATCCGTTTCCACCTTCTTCTCCTTTCCTCAGACTTATAAATAGCGTTTAGGTTCTTTGGTTTCTCCTCATCCTCTTGATCAGCATGGGCCGTTCTCCCATAAAAGGGAAAAAGATCGACTTCGGGTCGCCGCCTCGCCCTCCTCCTTTCAAGCGGTCGAGATTGGAGAAAGGCAAGAAGAAGGCTCATAGACCCTCCTCCCGGAGGCATCATTCCAGCTCTACTTCTTCTGACTTGCGGATGGCGACTGAGGGCCCGCCCCCGGTGATGGACTCCTCTTCTCTGACTGATCCTCAGCCCCAGACGAAGGCCCGTGTCACGGCCCAGGACGAGACTTTTGTCGAGGTGGCGGTCCCAGAGCAACTGGCCTTCAAGATGACGTTCACTATTCCTCTAGATGACCTTGGCCGGCCACCGACCTGATGACTGATGCTGACTTTGCTCGTTATCTCGAGCTATACCCTGATGATGAAGCGCCCGTGGTTCCGCCTCTCATGCCGGCCTTCTGGGACTCGGTTTGCCCATCTCCGACTGGCCCATTGGAAGAGATGTCTTTCCGAGACGAGCCCTCTTCATCTGACGAGTGAACTGCACTACCTAGGGTTTTCAAGTGGCGAGGTGTGATGTCGAGTGAGGTTCAGTGGGGAACTGTGAGATGAATGTTATATTAGTATAAAATAAAGTTTCTTCCTTTCCCGATGTATTTATAAAATGGTGTGTGCTTATTTCCTGACTTTTCTTTCCTCCATACGCGATTATGCTTGTTATTTATCCGACCTTTTAGTCGGCCTATGCACTGCCCGAGGTCTGACACTCGCGATTTGCCAGTATCTTTGGAAGATCTTACTTTTTTTAGGCCATGGCAGGAATCTTGCCCTTCCCGAGCAAAATTGATGGGATCTTTCCCTGACACAGATTCCTGACTCTTATCCCTTTCTTCTTTTCTGCCCGATGATGGCAGTTTTGATTTTTCTCCGTGATTTTCTCCTCGATACTCGCTTGATCTGGCTATAAATGGGGTTTCTTCTTACTTGCCCTCCTCACTTCTCTTTCTTGGTACCATTTGTGGCCGCTATTCCTTTCTTCCTTTCAACATGAGCTACAGAGTTGGTGACCGACGTTTCTCCATTTGCTAGAAGGAGCAGGCCCGGCTAGAGAAACTAAGGCAGTAGAGGCTAGCCAATGGTGGCCACTTGGTGGGCGACTCCAACTCAGATCTTATCGTGGTTCCCCCAGACATACTGGATGTGATTCCGGTGGACTTAACTAACCGGCGAGTGGAACCGGTGATAGACGAGCCGCCATTAGACAAGGAGGAGGTATGGGAGGCTCCTCCGCTCTTCGGGGTGGCTATGTCCCCCAGTGCTCTTGAAAGACCTCTTCAAATGATTGATGATGGGGAGCCGCCGGTCTATCTGGATGATGTGCCGGACCCAGATCCATCTCCGCCTCCTTTTCGGCCCCAGTTGTTCCTGGAGGGTCCACCTCCTGCTCGTCCGACAAAGGAAAAGCCCAGTCCGTGATCTTGCTTTTATGATTTTTACCTTGTAACACGACCGTGATGTAGGCCTATCTATCTTGATCAATAAACGTTTCGTCTTGTTTTTCTTTGTCCTAGGAAAAAAAAAGTTTTATTTTATCGATGTTGCCGACCTTCCTTCAGCCGACTTAACCCCTTGTTAAGGGTAGTCGGTCCCACTTGCTCGACCGTGGGGTCGACGGTGACTCTGGGCCCGAAGCCCAACTATTCGCCTGGTTGGATACCGGAGTCGGGTTATGAGTGCCGACCCGTTTATTCGGCCGGCCCCGAGATCTATTCTTGGGTTGTCTTGCCTAGACACTGGGGCGACCCAGGGGAATCACAGCCTAGAATGGGCCTGGATTGGGTAGCCGGGTCATTCTGACTTCTCTCACATCTAGAGAACGATTCGTTCAAACTCGTGCTAACCACTATGCAAATCATCCACCTTTCCTTCCCAAATATTAGCCTATATTTCTTCCACATAATAATAATCTTTTCGTAGGATTATTATTTTGGGATTTTTCCACCTTATTACCCAACAAGTTATTCCATTTGCAGGGAAATACTCATTCTTAGGGGGAGCCTCGGTATTAGTTATTCTTATGCTCTCGGGAATAACTTTTGTATTACAATACCAAAAATATCATTTACGTACATGCTTATATATATATATATATATATATATATATATATATATATATATATATATATATATATATATATATATATAAGTTCCAGTGCATTTAAGTGTTTCTCGTGAGGTTGTGCGGTTTTAGCGTGCGTCAATTTTGTACTTCAAGTGCGTGAGTCTTGTGCTTAATGTGCGTGAGGGCTGTGCCTAATGTGTGTGGGTTTGTGCTTAATGTGAATTGTTGAAAACTTAAGTGCGTGAGTTTTGTGCTTACGGTGCGTGAGTTTTGTGCTTAACATGCGTGGGTTTTGTGCTTAACGTGCGTGGGTTTGTGCTTAATGTGACTAGTTGTTGAAACTTAAAAGGTGTCTGAGTTCTGTGCTTAAGGTGCGTGTGGCTTGTGCTTAACATGCGTGAGGCTTGTGCTTAACATGCGTGAGTTTTGTGCTTAAAGTGTGTGGATTCGTGTTCTGAAGGTGTTTTTGTTGTGTACTTAATGTGCGTGTGTTGTGTACTTAAAGTGCGTCAGTTAATGCTTAATGTGCGTCCAACCGCACGGGAAGCCCCTCCCGCACCTGAACCCTTATATATATATATATATATATATATATATATGGGCACACTTTCATGCGAACGGCCGACCAGGACAGAAATAAGAACCATCCAGCGCCGTCCACATGTCCAGATCAATGAATCAGATGTAATTTGAAAAATATGACGCGGTGTCATTTTTGAAAATAACTCAAACTTTGGTGCATGTAAATGTGTTATAAGTTCAAGTAACTGGTGCACCTTTGCAAGTAAAAATTGCAGGTAAAATCACTTACAAGCCCCTAGTTTCACTTACAAGTGCATGTATTAATTTTACCTTGTTAACATTCATGCACATAGGTGCAACTACTTATAACCAAATGTGGACCTAGTTATAACGTTAGGTGTACTTAGTTTTGATGCACAGTGTAAATTTTACTTACACCTGTAATACATTTTACATGCATTGAGGTGCAGTATATGAAACTGCTACTTACACTTGTAATACATTGTACTTGCACTTATAATATATTTTACTTGCTCTTCGATGTTCAATTATTTACGAAAATGTCACCGAATTTTTTTAAAAAAATCAGTGTTTCTCATCCCTTAGATCTGGACATGTGGATGGCGCTGAATAGTTCTCATTCTTCTCCTGGACGGATAGTTCGCTCCTGAACGGCCTCATATATATATATATAGTTCTCATTCTTCTCCTGGACGGATAGTTCGCACTTGAACGGCCTCCTATATATATATATATATATATATATATATATATATATATATATATATATATATATATATATATATATATATATATATATATATATATATACCCTTCAAAGGCAGCCATGACTGCCTTCCTCCTCCTTCTTCGCCTCCAGATTTGGAGACGAAGAAGGAAATGATTGTTGTTTTAAAATAAATCTGTTTTTAAAAAAAGAAGAGAGTTTGAAGCTTGAAGGCAGACGGCCATGGCTGCCTTATCCTTTGTTCTTTCTTCGTCTCCAAATCTGGAGATGAAGAAGGGTCCTCGTTCCTTTCTTCGTCTTCAGATCTGGAGACGAAGAGCAGAAAGATTAAAAAAAAAAAAAAAAAAAAAAAAAAAAAGCAAGGGAGGTTGAAGGCAACCCTGGCTAACGGCCATGACTGCTTTGTTCTTCTCTCCTTCTTCGTCTCCAGATTTGGAGACGAAGAAGGGAAATATATTTTTTTTAAATAAAAAAAAAAAAGAAAGAGAGAGAGAGGGAGAAGAGGTTGAAGGTAGCCATGGTCATGACTGCCTTTGTAACATCCCCTTTTTCTAAACTCTAAAACTCAATGATAATCATTCTTAAATGGGATTAAACAAGGGTAGGATAAATAAACTAGAATAGTAATTCATTTCAATAACTAAGAGCATCTCCAACGGAAGGCCAATTTCCATCCCCAAAACACCATTCGCTCAAATTTCTCTCTCCAAGGTGTCTCGCTAAAACGCCAAAACGCCAAAGGGAATGGCGTTAATGAACAGTGTAGCGCTATATTTGGCGCTGCACTGTTCATCCGCGCTATAATCCCAAATTGTCCCTTTTGCCCTTATTTTATTTTATAATTCCAAGTATATCCTTAATTGTTTTATATGTAATTTTTTATTTTGTTAAATACTTATATTTAAACTTTGTATTATTAAATAAAAATTATACCATTTTAAAGATCTCATTGAGACGATCGAAACAAGACTAATATTGAATGTATATTAATTATAAAATTCCAAATACATTAAACATAACTTGAACATAATAAAAGTTAAAATACATACGACATACATCAAACATGACTAGAACATAATAAAAATTAAAATACATACGACATAATAATAATATTAGAAAATACAACACAATTTTGAACAAATATAATAAAATTAATAATTTCCTAGTCCACTCCCACTTCCTCCCAAAGTATCAAAGAATTGATCAAATTCACGATTTGATTCAACTCCTCCTCCATGCTCTTGATTTCTCTCTGCAACAATTTGTAGTTGTTGGCGTCTAATCGACTCACGCACAGCTGGATCTTCTATCAAATTTAAATTCATCCTTAAGATTTTGTTATCTTCTTTTCGTTTTGCTAATGCCATTTTTTCTTTTTCCAATGTTATTTTGTTCGCTACATTTTGAGCTGTAAGCAAATCAAGCTCATATTATTTTTGGAGTAGCTCATGATTGTTTTCAAACATTCATTTGAATTGTGCAGTTTGTTGTTCTATTGCGGCAATAAATTGATTGCGCTCATCCGAGAGTTTATGCTTCATCTTTTCCTTCTTCCTCCCCGTAGGACGTTCACCTACATTGTTCATTTCATTACAATGTTCATTAGTTTCAAAATCATCATTCAAATCAACAGCAAATGAGGAAGAGCCTATTGACTTCTCGGTTCCGAAAGATTGTGATTGTGATCCTTCGGAAGTTCTTTTTCGACCTCCAACATTTAGCAAGCTCCCAGTTCTACAAAATTTCTGCATGCCTTTGACAATTGGCCATACGTGATCAAACTTAAATCCGCCTTTGAATTTGGGATCTTGCTTTACTAACTCCTTTTCTCTATCAAGCTGTTATAAATAAAGTATAATTCTAATTAAACAACGCAATTAAAACAAAAAACAAGAGAAAACTAAATAACACAAATTTACAAGATACTCACAATATCTTGTTCAGATGCACCACTTGGGTTAATGTTCTCTATTTGTTGAATGCACCCTCTTAGTTTGCTAACCGCTGTTGATATATTTGCCCAACGACTATGCAGCAATCTTGAAGTTCGATCGTTACAAATGTGTGCCGGTAGCATTTGTTTATATTCTTGTGCAATGTGTTCCCATAAATCTGGTGCAGAGCGATCATTGCCCTTTTCAGGATCTTGGACAATATCCATAAATATAGTACAAAGGAGTTTATCTTCTTCATTAGAGTATGAGGAAGTTCGGATTGAACATGCGGGATTTGACATATTTCAATGACTGTTAAACTAGAAAGAGATATTGATATTCAAAAGATAGGTGGTATTACTTCTAAAATCGAATTGTAGTATTTATAGAGATACAAGCATACCAATGAACGGATGTGATCTTCGCGATCAATCTAACGGTTCTAAACAATTCAGATAAAAGCTGATTCTTCAAAGATGCATGTGATATCTTTTATTGGAGTATGTGTGAAAAAGGACAAGCATACCAATGAACGGATGTGATCTTCACGATCTAATTTAACGGTTCTAAACAATTCAGATAAAAGCTGATTCTTCAAAGATGCATGTGATATCTTTTATTGGAGTATGTGTGGAAAAGGACAAGCATACCAATGAACAGATGTGATCTTCACGATCTAATCTAACGGTTCTAAACAATTCAGATAAAAGCTGATTCTTCAAAGATGCATGTGATATCTTTTATTGGAGTATGTGTGAAAAAGGACAAGCATACCAATGAACGGATGTGATCTTCAGGATCTAATCTAACGGTTCTAAACAATTTAGATAAAAGCTGATTCTTCAAAGATGCATGTGATATCTGTTATTGGAGTATGTGTGGAAAAGGACAAGCATACCAATGAACGGGTGTGATCTTCACGATCTAATCTAACGGTTCTAAACAATTCAGATAAAAGCTGATTCAAAGATGCATGTAAGGTAAGAATTTCAAATTTTAGAAAGGCTAGAAAAGCCGGGTATCACAGAGGGTTTGGTGGAGGAGGAGCTAGCAGGTAATCCTTTCCTAGCCTACCCTTATCTTTTGTGAGTATCTTGTTCCTTGTTGCCTTGAGTGTTGTCTTGTGTTCTTCGTTGTCTACTTGAGTTACTTTTCTACCCTTGACATGTCGTCTCTCTTTGATAATGGTTCCTTTGGAATTAAGTGTAAGCTCTTCTTGATAGATAATTCTCTTAGTTGTCATGGGTAAGCTTCATTGCGAAGCTAGTTATTTATCCTTGGAATGAATCATGCTTGGAATAATTCTACAATCCTTGCATTTGGATATTCTTGCAACCTTTCCTTTTGAGAACCATCTAAATTTCACAAGTATTCTTTGAATTGAGAATAGAAAACCCATGTACAAATCCTATCTTGTGTAGCATAAAAGTCAAGATCAAGCAAAATATTTAATTGTCACTCTTGAGTTTTAAACCCAGGTATACTCTTTACCAATCCAACTTCTAAACCACTTAAGCTAATTATCTTTCTTTGAATTTACCCAATTTTAATTCCATCTAAACCATAAATTTCCATTTTACCCAAATCCCCAAATTAAATCATCTTTTCCCCAATTTTTCCCCCAAAAATCCCTAAATTCCCAAATCTTATTCTCTCTTCTTCCCTACCCGTGAGTAGCCGAGAACCCAACCCCCCACCCGTCTCTTCACCTGCCCGTCGACGAGCCACCACTGCCGGACCACCGCCGCCGTCGAAGCCATGTTGCTGCCGTCGCACGCCGAAGCTTTCCCCGCCGAGCAGCCCCGATCGCCAGAAGCCCTGAGAGAGAGAGAGCAGCGAGAGTGAGAGAGAGAGAGCCATCGAGAGAGTGGAGAAGAAGAAAAAGTTGTGGGCTTCTTTTGTTGAGTTTTGGGTCATCTCCTACCATGCCTAGAAGGTCAAGTTTGGCTAGGAAAGCGGAATGGGTGGATACCCATTACCTCGTTCTTGAAGGTAAAGCCTTTGAACCGGAATCTTTTTCTGATTCTTTGTTGGATATGCTTAGATTCCAAGGTTTGTTGGATGGGTTTCTCGCCATAAGGGCCGAGACTTACCCGAGTCTGGTTAAGGAATTTTATTGTCACATGGTTGTGACAAAGGATGGTGATAAGCTTGAGATCACTTCTAAAGTGAGAGGTGTGAAAGTAGTTCTGTCTGAAAAGAGGCTGGCTCAGCTTTTGAGTTTATCTGCTTCGGTAGTTGCTCAGTATAGCGGTAACTCATGGATTAGTACGGATACCATGGGGTACCGGGACTATTTGAGTTATTTGTTGGGTCGCACGAGTGGTTTCACTCAAGCTTCAAGGCCGGAGAAAAAGTGGTTGTCTGCAGAACAGAGGATCTTGGTTATGTTGGTATCGGATTGTTTGTTACCCAATAACAACAAAATAAGTTGTTGGAAAGTTGGAGTGCACCTTTTCCTTTTGCCTCAAGAATGTGGTCAAGTTCAACCTGCCAGCTTTGATGTTGCAACACATGGTTTTCTGCCGTGATCATAACCGAAAGAGCTTACCATATGGCATGGTGTTGAGCTGGATTCTGGTTAGAAAGGGTGTAAGTGTGGATGGTTCTCTACTGAAGGTCGTGGGAAAGTTGGTGTTGGATGCCACCAATCTTCGTAGTTGCAATCTGTTTCAATTGGAAGATGGTGATTACATCACTCTTGAAGAAGTTGCAAGGAAAGCCCCTGAGGAAAGAGCCGAGTTGGCAGCCGAGCTTGGGATTCATGCCGAGAAGCTGAGCCTCGCAGTCCAGAGTTTGGGTGGCGATGAAGAAGATGATGGTGAAGCAGGCCGTGAGGAAGAAATGGAAGCACCGGAAGCTGCCGAGGCCGAAGAAAGTGATTCTGAAAGTGAAGAAAATCAAAGAAGAAGGGACGCTCGCACCAAAAGGGAGCATGATGCCATGACACAGGAGGAGCGTGTTGTCACCTTGCTTCGTCAACAGAACCGCATGATCGAAGAAGGCTTCGCTTACATGAAGACGCAGTTTGTCGCCGTGCACCAAAGGCTAGACCAGATCGAAGCCAGTTCAAGCCGCAGAGGAGAGGATGATGAGGAATCCTAGGAGTCGGAGAGCGAGTCCTTCTAGAGTGGAGTTGTGGCCATCTTGTTCGCCCTTCCTAGTTGTTGTTATCTTCCTAGTTGTTGTTATCGTTTGTTAGTTGTTTGTTGCTTGCCTTGTATGCTTGTTCTTGCTTGTTGTTTTGTTATTTAGATAGTTTTGTAGTTGGTGTATTGAGTTGGTTGTCTAGTTCCTAGTTGTTGGTTAGAAGTTGGTGTTTGTGTTGGGACTAGAGTTCGATATGCTCAATATATCCATTTGATTAAACTCTTGCCAATCCTTGTTTGAATTCTTTCTTGCCTTGAATTTTCGTGGAATCTTTTGCGTTTTGACCAAAAGAAATTGTTCTTGACACTCTTGTCACATTGTCGTTCCTTTTCACCGTTTGTTCTAATTCGTTGTACCCAAGCTTCGGGGATGAAGCTTCTTTGAAGGGGGAGAGAATGTGACACCCCGAAATCCAAATTCGATTAAGGGATTAATTAAATAGTTAATCCTATTTCAATTGGTAATTTAATTCTTAAAATCCTGGAAATTCAATAGTCGGGGACTAGTAATTGACTAGTCAACCCCAAAGTCAAAGTTGTACCTTGAGCTTTGTAGGGAGTTCCCTTGTTCCCTTATACATCTTCATGTTAGTAAGGGTATTCTTGACTTTTCACCTTGTGTTAGTATTGTAAGCTATACCTAGTAGAACACCCTCATTTCTCTCCTTACACTTTCCAAATTCTAGCTCCACCTTCTCTCTAAAAAGGTAGATAGCTTTTCTTCCAAGCCAAGTTGAAGCTTGTCAAAACTTCAAGAGTTGTCTCCAAGATTCTACCTTTCATACATTTGGGCATCTAGGAGGGTAAGATCCATGTTCATCTTGTGTTTTTAGTGTTTTCTAAGGTGTCTTTTCTTAAAGATAGAATCTTTATGATCTTTTGGTGTGTTCTTGAAGTGGGTTTGGAAGGTGAGCCTATTTAGGAGCTTGGTGAGGTGTTAAGAGAAGGTTTTTGTCTACAAGAGGTAACCCATGCTCTACCAAATCTATTTTGCTTACCTATTTGATGATTCTTGGATTCTACATGTGATTTTGCTATGAAATGTGAGTGTTTATGCATTGTCTTGTGAAAATGCATATCTAGAGCTTGTGTTTAGGGTTCTTGTATGCCATTGCTTGGCTATTCCTTTGATTCAAGTCATTTTGTTGTATTTGGTGAGATTTGGCATGTTTTGGACTTCAATTTAAGCTTGGAGTTGAAAATTCCCGAAGGGATTAATTTTGGTACAGGGTTACGTAGCCGCGGGCGGAACGGCGGGTAAGGGATCCACCCGTCGCCCACCCGCGGGGTACAAAGGCCTCGTGGGTATGTACCCGCGGGCGGAACCGCGGGTAGGGGCCTACCCGTGGGTCCACCCGCGGGGTACACATGGTGGTTGTTTGGGGATTTGATCCCCGTGATTCTTTTGACTCGGTATTTGGTCTTTTGATGTCCCGATGTTCTTTTGTGGAACTATTTGAGTGTCTTCTTGATGTTTCATATGTCTAGAACTATATGGTAGGAATCCATGTAGGTTTTGGTGTCTTGAATCGTGCTAAGTGTTCAACATTGTATTTCGTTGAACCGTGATGGGTCTTGTGTGTTCTTCGGAACTACGTTTGGTTTACCCGTTTGATAAGCATGCTAGTTCGGTGTTTAAATTCTAGCGTGTGTGTTGTTTGTACCATCTTATTGGTTGATGATAACTTGTGTTATTCATCGTTGTTGTTGTTGGGCTGTGACCCATTCCTTGATTGAGTACGATTTCATATCTTCGTTGTGATCCGTTGATTGATTCCTGTTGAGGTGTGATGTGTGTGTGGCTTTACCTGGATTGCACGATTAGTGGTATGGGACACTAGTCACCAAGGTATTGCAGTGGTCCTCGTGGTGGCCATGACGTGATTATGGAGTTGTGACATGTGTGTCAGGTTCACGTATTTTTGGAGAGGCGTGTGTCGCCGTGTGTGTGATCGGTAGCTTGTGTACTATGAATTGGTGGTTTGTTGGTGGGGGACGACGGTCCCAGGAGGGAAAAGGTTGGACTAAGAAGTACAGGGGTCCTGGAGGTAACGGTTGGAACTAGACATAATGTAACACCCCGTGTTACGACCCCTAAACCCAAATTAATTAATTAATTACTTAGTCCAAAAAGGGAGCTAAAATCTACTAAT